ATCCAAAGTGTGTGTGTGTGTGTGTGCTTATCTGCCCAAGGTTTCAAACATTTGGGACAGCACAGCAGTGAGAATGTTATGAGAACCAATCTGTTGTTTACACTAAACTCGAAGGAAGCTAGACTGGAACATTTTAAATAAATCAAAACACTTGCACATTAATTAAATACATTTGACATTTAGCTCGAGCTGGGTTCAATACTTTTCTTTATGGTATTTAAAATTGGGCTCGAGTAGAACCCCTGGATTTGGCTTGCAACACAAAGTGATACTGATCTCTGTAGGACTTGGGAGTGTTATGATTCAAAGTGTGGGCCTGTGGAAAAGAGGCCCTTGGAAAACAACACCTATTTTGTAACTGTAATTACTTATTTTAAAGAGATTGAAACATTATACTTTTAAAGAATTGCTCAATTAATTTAACACATTTATTATGCACACAATAAAAACTTCAACAAATATATTGATCCTGGCTTAACCAGCAACCTTTACTCTGTTGTTCATAAGCTCGGTTTCAGAAAACTTGTCAGTAGTTTAACAACTATTTTAATTTTAGTATTGTCTATGGAGACCAATTGGTTGATACGAGAAATAATTTGAAGCAGTTTAATAAAGAATGTTAAACTGTTTTTAAAACTGTAATTGAACTTCAACTTATATTAATTACCTGATTCCAGTGGCCAGTTGGAACAGAATAATTAACACAGTTTCCATTTTGCTGCAACAGCGCAAAAGGTTTCAACAACAATTAGTATTATGTCTGAGTCTAGTTCTGTCTTATCTGCTTTGTTTCGGAATGTGTTCAATACATTACGTTTTTATTCATTATTACTATACAATACATAGATTAAGAATAAATGAAACAAATAATACAACATTGACCTACAAAAACAGATTTTGCAACTCTGATCTCCTCAGGCAGGTCTCTGAGGGTCTCGGGGCGCAGGACGGGCATAGGGTTTATACAAGGTCACAAAGATATCTTAACATACCAGCAATACCATTTAAGAATGGATTCTTAAAGCAATATAATCTTCTTTTCTTCTTACACCTATAGCGCTCACCCTGAACAGTGGGCTTCTTGTTTACATGTTCCCCTGCACTCAGAGGCAGGACATAAAAACACTCTTTTTATTTTTCTCAAGTCATTTACTTTTGGTGAGATAACTAAAGTTTAGTTCATTTTACCCTGTCTATGGACTGATTCATTATTAGTTGTTACAAAACATACACAAGACGGCGGGACAAACCAATATAGACCCCCATACAAACAATCAGACAAACAAAACATGAACTCGTAATAAACACCAGCGCGACAGCAAAGCTCTTCAGCTCAATTTAGTCCGGATTTTAGAGAGATCTTAGAGGGGGGTGGGGAATTAGTGGGGCGTCTTCTCACGCCTCACCCTTGTATACAAGTGATTTATCGGTGCCTGAAAGCCGTCCAAGAACGATAACTAGCTTATCCTCTTGCGACAACCACTAGGCTATTTGTTTCTAGTGGCGCTGTGCCCCCCCGATCGGAGCCCACAGACTTTTTCCCTGCCCTTTCTATCCAAACAACAGCTCAGTTGACTGTAGTCCGTACGACCAGCCTATATATACTTGCTATCGAGTTCACCTCAAGGTGAAACACAGTTTGCCTATGCTTGCTTGCCACTACACACCTCTGATCAATTAGCCTATAATTGTATGTATGCACTCCTGACCGCTACCTGCTCCAGAGAGCCGTAGCGCATCGGGTGATGCACGCACTTCGCGCTGGCCCGTCTAACCATGAGAAAAGCGGTCCTAAACAACGAGTGCTTTTAGACCGTCCCGTTTGAAGGACGGTGGTGCCGTGAGTTAAAGCCTATAGACAATAAGCTGTGACTTTCTCCCTCTCAGCCTGCACTGCTCCAGCCCCACACACACACGGGGAGGTTTTACACACACACGCAAGGCTGCAGCTGGAGCCGTGTTTTTACAGAGAGGTGATAGCAGTAAATATCTCTGGCTGCTTATTTTCAACTGCTATGTTTGGCCGCTAAGACCCTCAAAATCCGGCGATTTGTCCAATACAAATATTTTACATTGCTTTCAATTCACACAGAAGCTCCACTTCACTGATGCTCTTTCCTTAAGGTATCTCTAAACATGAGCTGTGTATGCCTGTATGACACTTCCGTCCCGAGCAGCACACACAGAGGAAATAAGCCAGGACTGAGTCCCCAGACACTGATTCCCTGGGTTTATCATCCCCAAATGTTCATTAACCAAAAGGAAACGCAGCCGATCAGTTTCACAGGTAATTTTAGGATACCGTCAATCACAGATTCTGATAAGGCAATGTCCAAAGTAGATTTGAAAATCACACTTACCAGAATCTGAAGATCTGTTGGCATCCTGCCGACAACGCCAATTTGTAGAGGAAACTTCTGTGTAGCTATGCAGTGGGAGTCACCGACTCAGGAAGGAGACACGGTAGGAGCAGTAGCTTTGATGTCAAACACTGGTGGTTTATTTGGAGTTACGGCCGGAGGATTCACATCACAAGTCCAAGAGTCAGAGGTTCTGACTTCACGGTAGAGTTGCCACGTCAATTCTGGAGAGCCTCTCTCTTGCCAGCCCATCTAACTGGTTTCGCAGAGAGTAAACAACATATTTGAGAAGATAGCCTAAACAGTGTGGGAACACTGAGCTACTTGCCTCGGACACTTATGACCTCGAAGATTTCACCTTGGAGTCCACAAATACAGAGAAGGAAGTGTCCCAGTGTACCCACAACACAGACCATCTGTGACCCAGTATTGACCGGTCACAGAATGGGAACAATAACATTATTGGCTAAGCAGCCTGTGTCCTTAAAGGAGGTAAACAGACATCAAGGTTTGTCCTGTATGTCACATCTTGGCGTCTATGACAATTATTTCCATAACAGTTGGAATAATGGTTGTTGATGCCAAACTGCGTCTCCTCAATGTGTTCCCCAAGCTGAAAAACATTCTCCGTTCCAATCTCCTCCCGGACGATGTAGGTGACTGTCGACACCTTTGGAGCTTGCCTTGTTGAAGCTTGGCGAATCACCCTCTCTGCAGCTCTCAGCACCTTCACTGTGCCTTGTGATGGAATCACTAGGCCACCGTTGTTTTTCAGGGCTAGAAGGTGGTAGCTCTCATCAAATGATGAAGGTACAGCATCTCTGACCAAGCTTCCACCAGACCACCAAACCGAGTGGGAAGATAGCTGTGGTCACTCACAACAGCCGAAATGTTGGCGAGTGGAGATGGGTGCTCTTCAGCAGTTTCAGCAGAGGACATCTCTACCGCAGACAGGGACACAGTGTGATCTTGGGCTGCCACATTGCCTGTCTCACTAGGTGAAACACCACACCGAACCATCAGACGGCGGAAGATGGCCTGGAACTGGCGTGCAGATGGATTGTTATTCCAGCCACCTTGTATGGAAAACAGGCACACAATACATACATTACTCATAAGTCATTTTCAGAATGTATTGCAATTAAAAGAACATCAACGCTACCTGACGCTCTGATGGAATTAAATAGGAGCTCCAAGTGATCCTGGCTGAACCTGTAGGTGAGGACATACCGCTGAACTTGGAGCAGTTCAGGAATCATCAGCATCAACGTGTTGATGTTAATGACAAATCCGATGACTGACAAGTACCTGCAAAAGAAAAACATTTTATTACTCTGATCATGGCAAAACATATACAGTATACTTGTAGGACACTTAGCTAACTAGGAACAATGTAATTGCAGAACTGGGATAACTAGAGAACAAGAACACATGCAATACATACCATTTTGACACCTACATGTGCTTGATGTTGTGTAATACGTACCATTAGAAGCATCTGGGACCTCAAAAACACTGAATACAAGATCATTCAAATAGAAACAAAACTGCAGATTGAAAAACATTGAAACAAGAGAACATCATTTCAACATACATACCCTCCTTCTGACACCTGCAAAACTTGATGTTGTGGAATACATACTATTTAGAAGCATCTGGGACCTCAAAAACAATGAATACAAGATCATTCCAACAAACAAAACTGAACACAGAAAAACATTGAAATAAAAGAGCATCATGTTAGCAGACCAAACTAAAGGAAAACACATTGTAACAGTAGCATCATATGAACCTGATGTAGAGAACAGAGCATCTTATGAACTCGATGCATAACGGAACAGAGTATCGTTGAACTCATGTCGTGAACTTTTCACGCATGAATAACAAGCACTATTTGAATAGACCTCTTAGATCGGTGAAGTGGTGTTCCATCTTTTGTCACCAAAGTGAGCAAGTACTCCCTGGCTCTTGACAAAAATGCTTTCCTCTCTATCCAATTCAAAGCACTCAAGGGAGATTTGAATCCTTTGGCACGAGGATTGCGTCCATTCATTGTGTCAACAGCCTGTCAATAATCTATAAAGAAATATCGGCATCTAAATCACTATCATTACAGTGTTTCATTAGGTATCAGATAGTTGTAATCAATACTCATCTATTCAAGATATAAAGAGAACAGAGTACTTATTTCTAAGCTGTATGTTCAACATGCAAACTTAGTATTTGCTTGACTTCCTTCTCTCCATAGGCCTGCTTTGTGCTACAGCACATTTCACACAGAGCTTTACCACTCTAACATTTGTGAAGGTATGTGTAAGGTTATATACACACTTTTGTATTTATGAATATGCAATATCACGGTTCATGAAAATATTTGCATGTTGAACTTAGAGAATTATCAACAAATTGTTCCTGATGCTCAAATCACATTTTGATCAATTATTTAAAAACAAACACGTACTTGGTTCTATAATCACTAACTGTTTACCTCAATGAATTCTGCCGTTGCCTCACAGTCTTTAAACTGAGAGTACCTAAGATCCCTCATTGTGCGGAGAGCAACTGACACGGAGCGACTCAGTGTTTGTGCAGCCAGGGACACCCTCATCTTGTGGTTCTCAAAGTAGACATGCTTGTATGTGATTTTATTGGCAGCATGCAGTCCGTCTTTTTTTTGCACATCATTGAGATGATTGATGAACCTCCACTTGATCTGTCCGGTGGTCGTTGCAATTGGACTGTATGCCTGCAGAGAAAGATTCAGTCACTGCTCAAACAAGTACAAACAGCAAAATGTTGATCATCACGTCCAGCCATAACTGTGCAAATGAACAGACAACAATATTTAGATACAACTTTTAGCAGCAGAGACATAACTTGTACAAATAGGTCTACAACAATCATCATTTACCTGCAACATATTACGTGCCAACTTCAGCATGTGGCATGCATCATTACAAATACTTTGTCACCAGTCGAGGGATGCGGGAAACTGGTTTGAAGTGGCTCCTGTGGGTTTCCCTTTAGCTCACACCCAAGTTGGTTGCACATGCTGACGTTGGAGACATGCCCATCTATCGTGACAGATACCACCCGAATGCCCCGTGCATGCAGCTCCTCCAAAGCATGACTGAGAAGGACCCTTTGTGTTTCAGGTGACAGAGACTTCGTCAGGTAATATGCAATGGGAGCCTTCCAATGTCCTTGTAGGCCAACCACCATGAACACAAGAGCCTCAGTAGCAACATCGGTCTCATTGTTTCCATCACCCATGTCTACAAAACCAGACATTGACTGGTTATGTGGATTATATTGCACATGTTTTCTGATGGCCATGGCATCCAACATGAGTGCAACACATCCATATTTAGCCTGGTCTTCCTGGCATCTTCTCTCCAGCATATCCAGCATCATCTTGTTCAGGCCAGGCTTGCCATCCACCGAACACAGCCACCTGTAAAAAAATTGAGAAGTAGCTATTTAACGTATTTGCAACCGTAATTTCCAAAAATAAAATTGAACAACATTAAGACTACCTTTGTAATGTATGTGGATGAGGGAGGGGAAGATTTTTAGTCTCTCTGAGGTATTTATATGCCTTTGGACCATGTAGATGGAGTGTGAGGGCAAACTCTCTGTGGTCCTTTGAGTACTCATGGCCCTGCTTTGCCTTGAAGTCTATTTGAAGATCTGAAATTGTATGAGAAAAAATTAATAAGTCCCCTTCATATAATAACAAAGGAGTTGAATAGAGAGTGTAAGAGTAAGATGTACATGAATTTCAAAGTGCTAATTTCATTTTACCTGAGTAGAAATCAAGCCTCTCTTTGAGTTCTTCATTAATGAGGTTATTTTCCCTCAAATCACCCAAAAGACTCCTCACTGTGGTCTTTGCCCTCTTTTCTCTAGCCATGGCATTCTTCCTCTCTCGCTCGAGACTCTCCATTCTTGCTAAAGCTTCATTGAGTCTGGCCTTAAGAGGAGTAGGAGAAGCAGGCAAGACATAGCTATGATCCATCCTTTAAATACATCACTAAACCCCGCCCCTCCCGCCGTGGTGGCGGCCTTGCTGTAATCCACAATCAGAACATCAAGATCACAGAACTAACCCTCCCCTCAGTATCATCCTTTGAATTCATTGCCTTCAAAGCCCCTCCCTCACTGACAGTCATCCTCATCTACCGGCCTCCTAAACCTCATCCCTCCTTCCTCTCCGATTTCACTGAATTCCTCACACTTGCCTCATCCCTCTCTCAACGTCTGTTACTACTTGGTGACCTCAACATTCACATTGACTCACCCACCTGCAAGCTGGCATCCGAATTCACAACCCTACTGGACACTTTCTCTATCACCCAACATGTCACCTTCCCGACCCATGACAAAGGACACATTCTTGATCTCGTCTGCTCTACCAACCTCCCAGTGATTGACCTCCACCCTTGCCCATTTCCCCTCTCCGACCACAAACTCTTACAATTCACCATTGCCCCCCCCCACCCGAAACCCCTGCCCACCCAGAAACATCACCTTCCGTAATCTACACTCCATTGACCATAACCATCTCTCCGAATTGCTATCGTCTAATCTCCCCCTGGACGCAACCCTCAGCTCCCCTAATGATATGCTCAACCACCTCAACTCCACCCTACTCACCTTCCTCAACACTTTAGCCCCCCTCAAAAATAAAACTGTTACTTTCAAGACCTCCTCACCCTGGTTCACACCCGCACTGCGTAAAATGAAGCAGCGAGGCCGCCAACTTGAACGTCTTTCAAATAAATCATCCCTCACAGTCCATTACATAAGCTACAAACTCCATCTCAATGCATACAAAGATGCTCTTATTGCCGCTAAATCTGCCTACCTCTCCAACATCTTCACTGACCCCTCCCGTAACCCCAGGACCCTCTTCTCCACAGTTAACAAGCTCGTCAAACCCCGTGCTGATAATCTCCCTACTTCTACTTCCGCTACTTGCAGCTCATTCCTCCAGTTTTTCGCAGACAAAATTAACGCCATTAACCACTCCTTCTCAGCTCCATCTGATATACAAGCATCTCCCCCAACCTCCACCACTACCATTTCTCCCCCCATCTCCCTTGACCTCCTGACTCCTCCTCTCCCAGTTTAACCTGGTGACCCCACTTGAAATACTCCATCTGATCGGTTCCTCAAATTCCACAACCTGCTTCCTTGACCCTCTACCCACTCCTCTCCTGAAGTCCTGCCTCCCCGTCCTCTGCCCCTATCTTGCTAACCTTTTCAACTCCTCGCTGTCCTATGGAACCGTCCCCTCTGCTTTCAAAACTGCTGCTGTTACTCCAATCCTCAAAAAACCTGGTCTTGATCCCTCCTCCCTCACTAATTACCGCCCTATCTCCAACCTACCATTCCTCTCAAAAACTCTTGAACGCATTGTAGCCAAACAAATTCACTGCCATCTCCAAACCAACCAGCTTTATGAACCCCTTCAGTCTGGATTTCGTCCTCACCACAGTACAGAAACTGCACTCGTCAAAGTCCTCAATGACCTCCTCACCTCTGCTGACACTGGTTCCCTCAATATTCTCATCCTCCTCGACCTGAGTGCAGCCTTCGATACCATGAGCCACAACATCCTGCTCACCCGACTCAGGGACATTGGTATTGAAGGTATTGCACTCAGATGGCTCCAGTCCTACCTCACTGAACGATCCCACGTCATCTCCCTCCCAAACCACTTCTCTGCCACAGCTTCAGTCACCCAAGGCGTTCCTCAAGGATCAGTACTTGGCCCCCTCCTCTTCATCATTTACATCCTCCCCCTCGGTCAGATACTCCGCCACTTCAACCTCAACTTCCACTGCTATGCTGATGACACTCAGATCTACCTCAGCACCAAATCCCTCCATAACCCACCTCTTACCCACATTGATTCCTGTCTTACAGCTATTAAAACTTGGATGCAACATAACCTCCTCAAACTGAACAGCAACAAAACAGAACTCCTCCTAATCGGCTCCAGATCCACCCTCAGCAAGGTCACTAACATAACTCTCACCATCGATGGCACCATTGTTTCCCCCCTCCAATTCAGGCACGCAACCTTGGCGTAATCTTTGACCCCACCCTCTCCCTCGAACCTCACATCCGCCAAACAGTCAAACCTCATTTTTCCACCTCCGCAATATTGCAAAAATCCTACCCTCTCTCACCCGCCCCGCAGCCGAACGACTAATCCATGCCTTCATTTCCTCCCGCCTTGACTACTGCAACTCACTTCTTTACGGCATCAGCACTACATCCCTCAACAGACTCCAACGGGTTCAAAATGCAGCTGCACGTCTCCTCACGCATACCAAATCATGGCATCACATCACCCCAGTCCTCAAAGACCTCCACTGGCTTCCTGTCTCCCATCGCATCAACTACAAAATTCTGGTCCTCACCTACAAAGCACTCCACCATCTGGCCCCCCCTTATCTCACAAACCTTCTCACTCCTTATCAACCCCCACGGTCCCTCAGATCCACCGCAGCCGGACTCCTATCCATTCCCACATCCACACTCTGCAGCTTTGGGGACAGAGCCTTCACAGTGGCAGCTCCTAGGCTCTGGAATTCCCTCCCCCAAGATCTCCGTGACTCTGAGTCCCTCACAGTCTTTCAGTCCCGCCTCAAAACACATCTTTTCAACTCTGTCTACCCATAAGCCCCCCCCCCTCTCAATCAACTTCCTCTTGACTGCCTTTTTATTTTTTTACTTACTTGTTTGCCTGTCCTTGTTTGTCTACCCTCCCTCATACTGTAAAGCGTCTTTGAGTTGTGAAAAGCGCTATATAAATAAAATGCATTATTATTATTATTATTATTATGATCCTAGTAGAAAGAGGGATGAACATGGTTTGAGTGATGTTTCACTTCATACACATCACTTTGACACAACTAGAGTATGGCCCACATTCCTTCTTATAGTCATCACCTGTCAAAGCCACTGCCAGCATCATGCGTGTGTGTGTGTGTGTGTGTGTGTGTGTGTGTGTGTGTGTGTGTGTGTGTGTGTGTGTGAGTGTGCCAGGAATGCATGTTCAACATGTCTTCAATTGTGTGTGTATGGGTTTATTTGTGAGTGTGTTTAATATGAGTGGCAACAAACAAGAGAGATTTTACTTTGTCTAGGACCATTATGATATGATGTTGAAAATATAAATACTCACATCATTAGGCTGAGGTTGTGAGTGTGAGGTTGAAGCTTCTGGGTCGTCCTGAGGGGCCACAGACAGGCTCTCTTCAGCTTTTCTGGAAGTAGACGTAGTCCTGCCCTTTTCCGGCTAAAATGAAGAAGCATAATACTTGAAAAGAATATATATATATATATATACACACATGCACACACACACACACAGAGATAGGTATTTCACCCTGCCCTGTTATTGATAATAGAATATTTACATTTATGAATGCTAATAGCCTTATGATGATACACCTACTCTTTGGAGGTGAACCGGGAAGCTGAAGATGGAGGGAATAACACCATCTCTGAGTCGGACAATCTGTCCTGTCCTGTCAAACTCGTCCTGCTTAAAATGCTCACTGCAAATCACGGATGACTCGCTTGCAGTGAACCCTTCCCTCCTCAAAGCAACTTCCCACTTCTTCCTCATATCTTTGTCTTTGGGAAACCTTCAAAATAAAAACGGGAGATTTGAGAGTCAATACAAAAAAAATTCAGAAGGAGGTCAAGCTTATTTTCTTCCTTCTTCTTCCTGGATAGATTAGATTAGATTTTACTTTATTCATCCCACAACGGGGAAATTCACTTGTTATAGCAGCATACGATTTATAAAGTCTCAGTTGGCCATAAACATAATGTTTGCTGGCTACGATTTCACTGGCGGACATCAATACAGTACAATAATATTCTATTTACAAAATACAACCAATAATAATGTTGAATCTTACTTGTGAAAAGTAATCCCCCGACCCCTGTTCGCAATCGTCCGCCGATTTGCACAGCAATACGCCGCACAGTGCTCTGGCATCTTGAAACCTCTGCTGTCTATGGGTTGAATGCATGGTAGAATGTCTGTAGGATGACCGGTCCAAGATGGCGGCCGTATTTCTTGCGCCCCAGCAGCCAATGCGGCGTCTACTCTTTATAAGTCTATGGTGTCAGTACCATATGTGTTCGACCTACCATATGTGTTCGGGGTCCGTCGCTTACCAATGACGTCACGCATTGTGATTGGCTGTACAGTAATCGCACGCTGATTGGTGTAACTAGGGGCGCTGACTAAGGTATACCGGTATACCGGGGATAACGGGTCACAACCGTAAGCGACCTATTATCATTCAGGAAACGACAGCGAAGCATCTGGGGTGTTTTCTCCACATAACTGCTCACGTCACTGTCACTAGTATTTATTTATACATACTAGGGCTGTACCCAAATATCCGAATATTCGTTCGTTGGAGTACTATTCGGATATTCGTTTTGTTTGTTTTTTCCCAGTTTTTTTTCAAATTGAATTTATTGAAAACTCAAATATCAACGTAAGAGCTTGTGCCTCTTCGGGGGGTGCTAACACTTAACCATAAACGTTATTGTTTACTTTCTCCGTCTTTATATGTAGATATTACTTTTCTCCGTTAATCTCCATAGCAACAACAACTTCCTGTCAACAGCGCTAACTCTCCTTCAAAATAAAAGCATGTCCATAAATAGGAAGCCAAGCCAAATTACACTTAAGACATATACAACTGCAACGAAAGTAACAAACACAATGCGATATCCTTTTCAATTTCAAAGAACACAAATTGGGTTACATTAACAAATAACTATAAAACAACAATACTGTAGAACAGTGTTTCCCAACTGGGGGTACGCGTACCCCTAGTGGTACGCGAGGGAACTGTAGGGGGTACGAGGAATTCCAAGGTGACAAGTAAAAAAATAAATAATCCCGTCAAAAATCATAGTGCGCAATTTGTTTCCCTAGGGAGACAATAGTCTGTGGCACGCACAACCGCGCCAAAATCCCACAATTAAAACAGCTGCTTACCTGCAGCCAGAAAAATACCGGTAGGTCTGCGCTATGGATAAATGGCTGAAACGTCCGCTTGCTCTGGATTCAGGCCAGAGTTCAGAGGAGCCCGCCGAGAAACGTAAGAAAGAGGCCAAACTGAAACCAAGGCAGTACAGTGAAACATATATATTATTTGGATTCATTTCTACTTCTGCGGACCCACCGCAGCCTCAGTGCTTCTTTTGCGGTGAAGTCCTGGCTAATAGTGCGATGAAGCCAGCGCATTTACAGAGACACCATAGCACCAAACACTCGGGAAGTGTCGATAAAAGTGAAGAATTTTACAGACGAAAGCTGTCGGAATTTAAGTCGAGCCAGACAGTAATGATGAAAGCCACGAATGTGTCAATGAAAGCACTTGAGTCATCTTACGCCGTGTCCCTGCTTGTGGCTAAATAAAAAAAACCTCACTCTATTGTTGAGGAGCTCATTCTCCCTGCGTTGGCCGAAATGATGATAGACAAGAAAGCAGCCGAAGCACTCAAGAAAGTTCCCCTGTCGAATAACACCGTATCCCGTCGGATCAATGATATGTCTGTTAATATAATTGGACAAGTGGTGAACAAAATAAAACTAGCCGGTCAGTTCGCTTTGCAGCTGGATGAAATGACAGATGTGAGTGGAGAAGCGCACCTCCTGTCCTTCGTGCGTTACAAAGATGTGTCGGACATAAACGAGCATATTTTATTTTGCAAAATGCTGCCAGGAAAGACAACTGGGGAACAATTGTTCCAGGTTATCGACAGCTTCTTCAGAGAACATGATCTGCAGTGGAAAACCTGCAGCCACATCTGTACTGATGGAGCAGCTGAGATGACGGGGCGCGTAAAGGGACTTTTTGGGCACGTAAGAAAGGTAAATCCCAACATTAAATGGATGCATTGTATTATTCATCGTGAAGCACTAGCTAGCAAGAGGATGAGCCCTGATTTAAGTGCTGTTATGGATGATGCTGTGAAGATGATACATTTCATCCAATCTCGGCCATTGAATCACAGGCTGTTTGAAACTCTTTGTCATGAGAACGGCACAGAGCACGATCAGCTATTGCTTCACACAGATGTGCGCTGGCTGTCTCGTGGGAAAACGCTACTGAGACTTTATGAACTTCGCAATTAAGTTTTGGTGTTCTTGACGGAGCATCTGCATCCTCTTGCTGTGCAGCTTGAGGATGACAAGTGGGTGGCGCGCCTGGCATATCTTGCTGATGTGTTTACCAAACTCGACGAGCTCAACCTATCACTTCAGGGCAAGGAGTCACATATCCTGAAATTGTATGACAAAGTTCAAGGATTCACAAAAAAGCTCAAACTATTGGAGAGGAAATGTGATGAGGGAGACGTGAGCTGTTTCCCACTACTCAATTCCCATCTTGCCACCACTGCTGTTGCCAGGGGTCCAGTGGTCAAACTGGTGCAAGCACACCTGTCCAAACTCTGCACTGATTTCAGCCATTATTTTCAGGACATTGAAAATAAGTCAGAAAGACTGGATTGGGTGAGGAACCCATTCATTGTGAGTGAGAGCAGCAACAGCCTTCCAGCAATGCTGCAGGAGCCTCTGATGGAATTATCATCTGACAGATGGCATATGCTGAGAAGTCATTGACTGAGTTGTGGTGTGATGGAGAAGGAATATCCTGAACTGGGAAAACATGCACTGATTGAACTTTTGCCGTTTGGTTCTATTTATTTGTGTGAGGTGACCTTCTCAGCTTTAACACACATCAAAACCAAGCAGAGGAACATACAGGATGTGGAGACCAGCCTGGTCACAGCTGTTTCCACACTGCCTCCAGAACTATCAAAGCTTATGAAAGACAAGCAAGCTCAAGTGTCTCATTAAAGCTCACATGACTGGTGAAAATAAACTGCTAGGCCTATACTGATTCTGGATATTATTTTGCTAGGTGTTTTGTTCCTGAATTAAAGTTGAAATGCCTGTTTAAAGGGGACTTATTCAAAGGGGCTCCATGGTTTAAGCCTAAATGTTACAAGATATATATAGCAAAGATAAGTTGATTATTTTGATTTCATATGTATTTATTTGATTATATTATTTATTTTCAAGGCAACATATTCATTTTTATGATTTGATTTAAGTTAAAATTAAGAAAATGCCTGAGAATTAGATGTTCAAATTAAGGAGATGAAATAAAGTTATTTTCATTCAATAATCAGTTACGTTCTACGATCATCAGCACGTATGAGTGAGGGGGTACTCATGGTATGACAAAAGGCTCAGGGGGTACACAAGACAAAAAAGGTTGGGAACCACTGCTGTAGAATAACAAAATGAATGCCGTGAATACACCGAAATACACGTGTTGAAGCGGTATTTCGGTGTGATAACCCCCCAGTGTGCGGCGCTGCTGTCGGTGGTGGGGGAGGCCGGCTGGCTGCGGCCCGTTGTCGGCTCTCAGGTCCCGCTGGACCAGGCCCCCCATGACATCATCCAGTGTCCCGGTGCTGCTGGGAAGATCGTCCTGACCATGTGAGATCACCTTTTGAAATGAGAACTAATGTCCTCATTTATCATTACTGCCTCTTTGTAAATCATGAGCACTAGAATATGTGGAGGATCGCTGTTGAACTTTTTAAAACATCAGTTAATCATTAATGATGATAACATGACCTAAGAATCAACATTTCATCAGAAATGTGACTATATAATACAACAATGAGGTTTGAAAGACTCTTGAGAAGATGGACACTATGAATATATATTTTCATGAATAATTTGACAAATGAAGCGATGAATGTGACGGCCCCAGAGCCTGGGGCCTGTGAGTGTGTTGCAGGTCCTGCGATGGGGTGGAGCTGAAGAGGCCAATCAGCGGGATCAGGGACACCTGGCCGGAGCCGAGGTGCTATTTAAGCCCAGCTGCCGGAGTCACTGGGCCATCGATACTCTCTCCTAGGCGGCTGCAGAAGGACTCCCTCCGTGATCCTTTCCCATCGTCCATCCTCTCCTGTTTTTGGTGTTGCAAATAAAGTGCCGTGATTTTTGGAAACTTTGAGCGTCTCTTTTTGAACTTTCCTGTTGCGGCCAACGGGCCGGTCGTAACAATGAATAAAACACATTTCTCTATTTTCTTTTATTTGCTGATGTGAAATAACAATATTGACATTTACCAGTGGTGAAATGTAAAGTAAAGCAAAATAAAGTATTTTTACACGGTAGTATTTTCTACTTTTACTTGAGTGAAATATCTGAGTACTTCCACCATTGAAATTTAGGAAGATGACATGGGAAGGAGCAAAGTGAACGGCTCATTTCAAAACAGCACCTGTGCATCTCAGGTGACAGCCGGCTCTACTGAGCATGCTCAGAGACACACAGGTAACCTAAGCCACACACACACACACACAGTATCTGCTCTGCACTACAGCAACATGACAGAGCTCCCTGTAGAAGCAGACGGAGAGCTACAAACCAGGGCTGTGTAGTAATATGTCAGTGGAGCGTACCATGTCATCAGTAGGGGTGGACCTTCTGATCAACAGGTGAGCAGCTTGTTTCAATGATCTGAAACGAATCACTGTTTGTTTAGTTGAAGTGTATGTTCAGAAAGAGGATCAATATCTGTGCATGGCAGGAGAACAGCTCCTCACAACAGCTCTCAGCGGTGTGTTTGTCAATCAGCTGTGAGTATACATAACATATACAGTATATATGTATGTTTGCTCTTCTATTGAAGTATTTGAACCGTCTCATGGAAATATTTAGTCAACGCTGGGAACCACTGAACAGGAAGGTTCAAGGAATTTGATTCACAAATTGAGGTTAAAGTTCCTAATAGGTTCATGACTTGATTTGATATGTATTTTAAATCTAATACCAAAAGAGAAATGTAATGTGTAAACAGTCTTGTGCAGGGCACTGGTAAGGGCCTCTAACGTGCTTCAGTGAAAGACAGGCTGATGAAATGGTGTTGGGTAATCAGTAGTTTATTACCTGACACAAGACATCA